GATCTGCATGTTCATGTACCTTCTAAAACATTCCACTATTCTGCTAGATTATTACAGCAAATAATTCTCACCTGTTTTCACAATCAGTTGCACCTCAGTCTCCACGTGAACAATCTCGCTCTGTGCTGAGCAGATGTATGTCCCACTGTCCTTTGCCGTCAAACTCTTTATCTTCAGTTGTCCTCCTTCCACTTCAGACCAGTCTGCTGGTATGTCTTCTTTACACCGTGTCCAGGTGATGCTAGGTATTGGGTATCCGTCTGCAGAGCAGTTGAGCGTCACTGACTGTCCATGGTAAAGCTCAATCTTCTCTGGTGGCTTGACAGTAAACTGAGGCACTACATTGACTATCAGAGATGTCATGGAGTGTGTTGTACCAATGGCGTTCGAAGCTGTGCAGATGTAGGCTCCTGAATCTTTCTTGTCTGTTTTTGATATGGTCAGAGTGTGGCCTTTCACAGTGGCTCTACCACCAGGGATTTGGTCAAAAAGTTTTGACCAAGATACCACTGCAGGGGGGTATCCGATGACCTGGCATAGAGGGAGCTTGACGTCCTTTCCACTCTCAGCGTAGATTGGTCCGGCGGGTAGAGAGATGAGCGGCCGAGCTGCGTGGAAGAAAGTTGATCTTTAGGTTTTGGCGTTAAAATCAGCTTATGAGGGTATACGCATAAATTATGTACGATTTTGCTAACTTTTGCTTTTCCCATAGTTTCAATTTTTTTTCATATAATAATAAGATATGCTTGACGTTTCCTACTTCCCCAATATCATTGACTAGGTAACTGAAAAGGCGAATAGATGAATCCTGCCAGACGCTAAATTTTAACTAATGCTGCCTCTTAAACTGACGTTATGAACTTTATGTAAATAGAACTTTACCATTGACGTTGAGTTTAACAGAAGCCTGAGCGGTCCCTTGGTCAGTACGAATTGTACACACGTACATCCCATTGTCACCCACTGTAGCATTCCTGATGTAGAGCCCTCCTTTAACAATGGAATGTCTTCCAGTGGGAAGGGAGCCTTCCTCCTTGGACCATGAAATTGTTGCAACAACGTTCTTCTCTGGAGAACATTGAAATGCAGCTGTCTCACCCAAGTCGACTGTGTTCACGGCCGGCTGCAAAAGAATCCCAGGGGCAGTAACAACACCCCCCGCTTCTCCCTTTATAAGCTGAGGAGAAGAAGTTGAGTTCGGATCTCCGGGTTCTCCCTTTTGACCCTTGATACAAATCTGACTTTTGCTTGTACAGATCTTTTGCGTCGCAGCGTAAACGGATTTTGTAATTTGCCGATGGATATCGGGGGATAAAACTCCATTGTCTCCCTTGGCGGGGCTATCAGCGGCTCGCGGGATTCTCACCTGAGCTGAAGATCTAGAGCTAGGGGGCAGAACGCTGTGGATATCTGAAATGAAGAATAAATATTGCCAATGGCAGCTCCTGCACAACTTTTCTCCTTTCCAGCTCAATATTTCAATTGCACGATGATTGATGAAGGCTAAACCCGAAAAAATGTAACGCATTTGGACAAAGAGCGAACATTCTAATTGCCTAAGTGTAAATATTCTAGTTCAAAACTTAGCAACAAGACACGCTCATGTTTGATATTAAAATTATATAATAGGTCACGCCACAACCGGATAGGTAGACTACTCGCTCAACTCGCTGTCTATCACGGAGAGGAGTGAGGCCAAACAGATTGCATCATATATGAGGAAACGCTGATAGATTTCGAAATCACCGAACGACCACTCGTTACTCTTCACTAAATTCCTTTGACAAGCAGAATTTAAATCTATAAGCGGAAGAATTCGAACCTTCGTAAATTATTTAATAAATTCAGGCAAATTTATACAGTTAATAAGTTTTTCTAATCTCTTAACTTGTTTGTTAGATGATGTATTGGCATTTTGAAGAGAATTTATCACTGTACAAAATGGCTAGAGCCATGGAGCCAAGCATTTTTGCCACTGAAGTAATTGAAATCAAACTGTGTCAAAATGATCGACTTGGTTCATGCACGAGCCCCTGAAACAGTTTTTTTAACTGACTCACGGAACTTAATGAAATGTTCTCGGGATTAATCTTTCCGAAAATGTTTTGAGGAAAATCTGGCAGTTAAGCTTTTCTCGGTACGACAACAAGGACTCGACATATTTCATCTTTTCATTATTTGCAAAAGCTGCGTACCTTCGGCCGATGTTTTCCTCCTATTATACTGAAATATTAAATGCAAAGTGACATCAATTTGGTTCATTGTTTCTGACTTTCTTGTCTATACAAACATTGTACTGTTCTCACTTACGTAGGTTTGTTTAAGCGAATTTGTAAGCACATCGCGAGCAAAACATGGTTAAATGGAGCCTTAATAAATCATTCTTACCAGGAGTCAAAGGCTTGGAAAGCGGAATGTCTGTTGTCACCTTCTTCTGCTTTTCCTCTAGAGCCAGGATTCTTTTGTTTTGTTCCGTCAGCTCGCCTGCAATTCTTATAAAACTGACAACACAAAATACCACGCTCAAAAGAGTTATACAAAGGCAACAAATAAAGAGAAAGCGAGAAGGTCTGCTTTTATCCGAACTCGTCATTATGCGTATAAAGTATACTTTCAGTAGTTTACAACAATTGTTGATGTCTTTATATCATTCAAACGATTTATATCTTTTGGTATTAGCTCAATGGGAAGCATGAATTTCACTTCCTTGTAAACAAACTTATGATCCAAGGTTATTGTTTTAAGGGATTGTTGCAGTTTTACAATCCTTTCAGCTTAGGACTAAGTGAATCGAATGTTACTTCCTTCAGCGTTTGCGTCAATTCGCTGTAATGTGTTATAGTTGCTGAGTGGTTTGTGAATATTTTTTGTTTTAATTTATCATGTTTTACACCGACAAACTAGTACCTGGTAGTACCACGCCAATAGTGTAACACTCAACTTGATGCTGAGAGCAGATTATTTAGAAAGTTTCCGTGAAGAAAGGTTCAGTCACAATAAAGTGCGATGTTTTGGCTCAGCGCACATTTTTGCGAAAACGCAGTTTTTAAATGACTGGTTTAACGCGCTGATAGATCGACTTAACTGTACGTGCAAATACCGAATTAAAGAAGTTAATTCTAGATAATCAAAAATAATATCGGTGGACATGAAAATATGCACTCAGATCTGCTCCAGGTCAAACAGGAAGGATATAAATAGTGGCTGAAACATTTTTCCAAAAAATCGAAATTCTTCTAGATTCTATAACTTTCCGTCGTTCTTCTTCCTTCATTTCTGCGTTGTCTTTGCTGCGTTGTTCGTGTCAGAGACCTTCCTCAGTGAGCTTTTAAATAAGCTTCTTTCCGATGGTTCTGTTCTGTCGTTTCTCTAGTGGTATCTCGCCGATGTGCCGGCATATCATTGTATTTAAAAACTGTTACTGGAACCGTGAAACTTTCCATGTACCTAAAGAGTAGAAGTTTATGCAAAGAAAAGTCTTTTTGCAATCAAGAGAGATCCAAAACAATGCAGAGATGTCAAATGTTACTTTCTGCAACAATACACGAAGAGCTTACGAGGTGTAAAAAATATTTCTTTAACTACTTCTGCACGGAAAGTACTACTAAACAAGAAGACGTCCATTCGGTCATAGTAATGTTATGTTCATTTCAAGATAAAGACTTTAAAGTATCATGGGACACTTGCGCTGTCCTAGCGCCTTACTTTATTCTATTCGACTGCAAATATCTTTCTGAGATGCAGGAAGTCACGTGCATGTTTGAGTACTGAAATTATCCAGCTGAGGCCCGTTGTGACGCTTTTTAAATCGAAGAAAGGCTCAGCTGATCCACCACAAAACCTAACATGTAAGTAATGATCCAAAATGTTTCATCTTCAAATTAACTTGGTTGAATCTTGGGACAAGTTGAAGGGCCCTTTGTCACTTACAGGTACGGTCACGTGGTATCTCAAAAGTGCTTACAGTATATATTTCTTTGTTGAAACCTACAACTTTTTAGGAAACTTTTACAGGATTTTCAGTAAATACAAACAAATTTCGAAACAACATATAATGAATTTTTCGACCAGTATTTTAAAGTAGTTAATCAAAATAATTCAAGTTTTGCTATAATCTCTGTCTTTCACCAGTTCCTCAATTTACGATTTCACTTTACAACCGTGTTCACAATGTTTATATATCCTAGCTTCCTGCTACGTAAAATGCATACAAATATTATTATTATTATTATTATTATTATTATAAAAAACCCTCAGTTAATAAAACGCATTCGTTTAACTCGCTTGCGTTTGGTTTCAGAGTCAACTATGAGGGTTTCAATGGGGTTAACTGTTAGCAGTAAAACGGCCTAAAAAATCTAGCAAAAAATTTAACCTTTAGTCTTAGAAAAAGTGAAATTTAAAAATTTTTCGATTGTACGACACAAAAAAAATTAACCATTAGCCGTAAAATTGCCAACATTTTAACCGTTAGCGGTAAGGCAGCATCCCATTGAGACCTTCAGTTACGGCCATGAAACATCAGGATTGAACACAGACACAAAAAATCGCCCAATAGCAAATATTACCAAATTTTCAAAACTTCTTATGAACAAGCATACGGACAAAAATTACTAAAGTAATTTGGGAGGTCTAAGGAAGGGCCCATCAAAACCGACGAAATTTAGCAAAGTTACGAAATGGGGAGATTACCAAAATTCTCGAGATTGTACATGGAAATCGCGTAATTTATTCAAGAGGGCAAAAGTAAGTAACGACGAAAATGTTACAATTTCGAAACAATCAAAACTTGCTGAATGGCGGCAACTACAAATTTCGCTAACGCTTTAGATTAGAATCAATTTAAGGTGCTACGTTGTGAATCTCATGCTTATATAGGTGTTTCCAAATACCTCGCTATAATGACTCACAGGTTATTATTACTATAATCTGAAGTTTTTCTTATTATCCCTTCCATCATTCTAGCCACTTCACTTTCCAGATGTAGATTAGAAAGTCAGTCAAGGAGATTTTGGTTTGAGTTTCATCTGGCTTCCAATGAGTGGATTCCAGTACCAAGAATAGCTGCTATCTCCAAAGTTACTGTTCAGGCTGGAAGAAAGACAGGATTTAAACCACCATGCTCCTTTGTAAGCCTTAGCGCAGTTCCCACCGTTCTTGTCATTGTCCCTATCCTGGGTAGAAAAAGCCATACCGTTATGATTAGAAAAATTATCGTAAGCGTTACCAGAATAGAATCCGACAAACAAGGTATAGTTGGTTGCCTCATTTGTCACCGTAAAATTGCTATATTTTGCGTATCTATTTCCAGCCGATGTGGTGTTGATTTCCACTCGCAACTGACTCGGGATCTCGGTCAGTTGATAAATCTTTTCGTTTCCAAGCCAAAACTCCCCTCTGACGTCACCAAACCCGTTCTTGTACTCGTCCCAGTCCCTGTAGAATCCAACGAACCCATCAAAGCGTTTGTGAAAGACGGTCCATCCACCACCATCCGTCGTCATGTCACAGTACACTTCAAAACTGGTTTTGTTTGCTGGGTTGAGTGTGTACACTCCACTATCCTTGAAGCCGGCAGCAAGGAGCTCTGTGCAATCTCGGGCTAAAGAAAAAACACAAGAAAGTTTCAGTAAGAAACAAATTCCCTGAGCCACTCGAAATTAGAATTTGTAAAGAGTTCGAAAAATGGATGAAGTGATTGACCACCGATTTTTTGCCGTTTCAAAAGTTAAAAAAAATATTTTAGTACAGTAACTTGAGTATTTTTACCTTATTTACAACAAATATAATTTCCCTGAAATTTTTTTTTATGGTTAAGAGATTCTAGCCTAATTCAGTTGAAACCAGCTTACTTTCCCAAAATGGCAGACTTTTCTCTGTTTAGCTTAATCTCTGACGAGTAATTTTCTTATTCCTCCAATTTTTTCGGGAAATGGGAATTACTTTTGCGAAACTGGTCCTCTTTTCGTTCAGTCTATATTTATACTCGTGAGAAGCGATTCAAAGTTTGGATATTATTATCGTAGATTGTCATCTTCTTAGATTTGTTCTAAATATACACGTGTGAAAAAAAAACAAGCAAACAACAACAAGTACATCAAGTAATTCAACCAAGAAAGGAACAACAAGTAGGCGAGGAAAGGAACAGAAGATATGCAAGGTTATTATAGCAAATAATTCTCACCTGTTTTTACAATCAGTTGCGTCTCAGTCTCCACGTGAACAAACTCGCTTTGTGCTGAGCAGATGTATGTCCCACTGTCCTTTGCCGTTAAACTGTTTATCTTTAGTTGTCCTCCTTCAATTTCAGACCGGTCTGCGGCTATGTCTAACTTACACCTTGTCCAGGTGATGCTTGGTTCCGGATGCCCCTCTGCAGAGCAGTTGAGTGTCACTGACTGTCCATGGTAAAGCTCAATCTTCTCTGGTGGCTTGACAGTAAACTGAGGCACTACATTGACTATCAGAGATGTCATGGAGTGTGTTGTACCAATGGCGTTCGAAGCTGTGCAGATGTAGGTTCCTGAATCTTTCTTGTCTGCCTTTGCGATGGTCAGAGTGTGGCCATGTACAGTGGCCCTTCCACCAGGTAGATCACCAAATAGTTTTGTCCATGAAACCACGGGAGGGGGATATCCTATGACCTGGCATAGAGGGAGTTTGACTTCCTTTCCACTCTCGCTGTAGATCGGTCCAGTAGGAAGAGAAATGAGTGGACGAGCTAAGGTGATAAAGTTGGAAAAAATAATGAAGAAAATGATCTTGACCTGTGCAACTATAACTTCAAGAGAGTATGTATAATAATGTACTCCAATCACAAGGGATTCTGTTTGTCGCAAAGGATTGTACGTTACCACAGATTTTCTTTAAATTGACTTTTGCCATAACATTGATATCAACTTAATAAAAGCCCCTTATTGATGAAAGTTTTTAAACATGTCATCTCCGTGTTTAACATGTGAAATCATCAATGCCAAAACCTGACAAATTCTCTTAACTTGAAAACTGTTTAAGATAGTGATGTCTCAAAATTGACCAAGGTATTGATCTACAGTGTATGATGAAATTAAAAGGCTGTTTTTTCCTTAAGTAAAGAAAGCATTTTCCAAAAACAGAACTAGTTATGGTAATTATTAAACCATTGAGATTGCTACTTGCCATTATCGGCTAAATAAAAGTAAACATATACGTAACTGGCCTAGTAACAGCAACGTTTATCGGTTACCTTTCACGTTGAGTGTAACAGAAGCCTGAGCGGTCCCCTGGTCAGTATGAATTGTGCAAACATACATCCCATTGTCACCCACTGTAGCATTCTTGATGTGTAGAGATCCTTTGATGATGGAGTATCTTCCCCTTGGAAGGGAGCCAACTTCCTTGAACCAGGAAACTGTCACATCCATGTTTTTCTTCGCCAAACACTGGAATGAAGCCGACTGACCCAAGGCAACAGTGCTGACAGCTGGTGTCACCACAATCCCAGGGGCAGAAATAACATCCGCTGCCTGTCCCCTGAATGGCTGGAGGGAGGTCGGAGTCAGTGAGGTGGGCTCTCCGGGCTCACCCTTCTGTCCCTTTATCCCAGGGGGTCCAGGAAGCCCCGGATACCCAGGGGGACCATGAGGCCCTCGGGGTCCAACCTTTCCAGGAGGTCCTTGTACACAGATTTGACTTATGTTGGTGCAGATCTTTTTCGTTACGAAGTAAACTGATCTGTTGATTTGTTGCTGTATTTCTGGAGTTAAAACGTCATTGTCTCCTTTTGGAGGAGTCTCAGCAGCTCTCGGGCTCCTCTCTTTTCCTGAAGAGCGGAGAGACAGAACATTCGGGGGGTGTAGTTCTGTGAAATTAATCCATGTGTAAAGTTTTTGAATGGTTGGGTATTTGAAAGAGAAAGGCAGGGAGGTCTCAAAGGTAGTATATCTGCCGCACGATGAAGGTGCCTCTTTGGAGGTTTTCTGTCTAGGTGGGGTTTAAGTTTAAAGCTATGAAATGAAACCATCTATTAAAAGCAATTTGTGAGATTACACAACATTGCATTTTTTGTTAATCGTTGCACTGAAAAACTCGCTAAGAGCTTCTCAAACATTAAAAAAGAAAAATGGAAAACAATACGTCGCACACCCACAACTTTTCGGACTTACGGACGGACGCAAAGCTGTCGGAGGGTAACTGCAAATTTGAAAATGTGGTAAAAGTTTTAAAATGGGACTGTTAACTCTCTCACCTTCATTAAATCATTTCTCTCTTCTTAAATAGGGCTTACGCGTGTTTATGAGACACTGCCTGTGGAATACCAAAACTACTCAATGATAATTTCAGTGGTTCTTTTGAGCGCTTAACATATTTAAATTTAGTTGTTCCTTTTTGTTCATTTATTAGTTCTCAGTCCAATTTTGTTCTGGCCTCAGTCTGGATTGAAAGTTTAAAAACAAGTCGAACTACCCTCGTTCGCGAGACTTTGGCAAGAAGTTTTCCTCACTATACAGTGTACTCACCCTTTGTTGCATTCTCCCGAGCTCGTGTTTCCTCAAGATATTTTTCTTTGATCTCAAAAGTCTCGAGTCTTTCTCTATAAGCTTCTAGTTGTAACTCAAGTATCACAAAACCAACACAGTAAAGCAAAACACTGATAAACGACACACAGCAGCAAACCACGACAAGACGGGAAGATCCTCCAACGCTCGATATTGTGAACAACCTCTCACAAGTGACTCAACACAGAAATGCCTCGTCTTATTTAAACATTGCATTTGATATCAGATTGTTTGGAACACCCATGATGTTTTTAAATCTTTGATTGTGCCGATTTTATTTTTAAAATATATTTGCACTCATTTGATATTTTTTTGTTGTGATTGCAAGATGAAAAACACAGGCTGTTTATATCACTCATCGAAAAACCTTCTCACGTCCAGAAAGATTTCTTCTAAACCATTTTGATATAACAAAACCGACAAAATTATTGATACTTATATCGATTCCGGCTCCAAATCATCAATTTCTAATAGTTCTCGTTTTCAAAAATGCTTTTGCAGTTTCTTTTACTCTAGAAAACCAGATTGCGTAGAAAAACATCCTCTTGTGCGCGTATGTTTTTCAGTTTAACTAGAAATGTGTTAGTATATTTAAACTTTGAACTTCAGTAATTAGGAACAACCAGAATGTTTAGATTAATTAAAATCTACCTTCGCCGACTTTCCTTTGCTGATTGTCCAAGGACATGTGTTCACACGCAGTTTATATGATTGCCATGTTTTCTAAAAGCACCATAAACTCAGCTCTCTAGCTATAAAATATTTTCCTTGAACATGTTGAAATGATTTTGAACACTACAAGTCCTTCTGAAACATTTGACATTTTCTTCTTTTTAAGCCAGTAACCCTGCGAAAGCAATCAATATCTTAAGGATGATACACGCGCTTAATTCACTCCAAAACTGCTATGTGGTCGCAAGATCGTATCATCTAGAACAGTGAAAACATTTACAGTTTGTATGCCGTCTCATCTCGAATACTCTTGTGTCAGGCAGTGAGTTTGCTTCCAAATCGTTCCTAATAAAACATCCAAACTTAGCTCTTCATAGTTCTGTAGATTTCAACTCTTAAAACAATAATTTCCTTTTTAAAAGAAATATATAAAATCTATATATTTAAAAAGCAGGGTAAATTTTTAAAAGAAGTCCAGGGCGTCTTGGGTACTGCATAGGTCAGGGGTTTGACTCACGTTCGAGCTAGAATTTTTTTAGGCAACTGTGTTCCTACTTCATGAGTGCAAATCGCTACAACGAAACAGGTGACATCTGACCTGCGGATGATCTACAAGTACAGAGGCGATCCCCGCATGTGTCTTTGAGGCTTTAGCTTTTTCAGGGTTTTTCCTGCAATTTCGTTTATTGCGGTTCATCTGAAAGGATTATCTTTTTTTTCTAGTGTATATCAATCATCGACGAAACTTTTATGACGAACGCTTTCTTTTTGTCTATAGGTACACCTTTGATATTGTGAGTCGTTATTTATTCTTTGGCAGATTCTCAGTTTTGAAATCTCAATAATCACTATGTCATTTTTGAGTCATCTTAACTTGTTTTCATTCCCCGCTTTTTTGGCCAACTTCTCTTACGCCGACTCTCATATACTCTGTTTTCTAATCAGTTGTATGATCCCGATTACCAGAATGCGAAACATTACAAATCTTTCGATTTATTATATGAATCAATTTTTTTACGTTTTCACTCCTTTCACCGTGTATCAATGAAAGTCATTATATTTTCTAAAAATGTGTCGGCTTGTTGAAACCATGGCCCAGATGACCTTAAGTTAATGCTTTTCTAAATTGATTCCAAGCGGTATCAGTAACTGAAATATTGTATTCCATCACTCTCATTATATTGCCAAAAAAAACTTTCTAATCTGGTACCTTTTACGAAGTATATTTTTACAATTTCAAGGTTCATTAAGAACGAGCATGTCCAATTTCTTCTGAGGCGCTGTCAAATTTACAATTCTTGGTAGTTTTCCGAGTGGTTTATCTCCTTAAAATGTCTTTTGAGTCAAAATTGATATTTGCATGATTCCGTCGACTATCGCAAAACTCCCCACCAGATTTTGGAATCGATATTTATAGCATGTTTGGTATTACTGTAGCTCGAAAGAAACGTAATGAGGAAAACAAGTGTTAGCTTTAACGCCAGCTAAGATGTTAATTTTGGTTGATTATTCATAAATAATTACAACATATTAAACTTATGTAAATTGAAGTACAAAGACGAATCTTGATCTAGAAAGTCTTAGTAAATGACTCAGGCTTTCCAATCGATTTATGCTGCAAATCCTCACCTTCTGAGACACGTTTCACAGAAAACGTTTCTTTTTTATTCGTTGCTACATATCACTGACTCTTCGTGGCAGGAGATAAAAATCAGGAATGAATTAGAAGAAGGTTAGCGAGTCATAAAAAAAAACTTGTTAGTCTCTCGCGTTCGTGATAAATTCCTGGTGAAAGCTGATGTGAGGCGAGTGTCTTCATTTTATTCTTTATCTCCCAAGATCTGATTGTTTATTCTCCCTGGCTGTTACCCATTTCCCAACGAGAAGTTGGTATTAGATCAAGATAACAACTTCTACCTGATAAGTTTGAGTATTCTCATTACCTGTTCTCTGGGTAGTGTATGTATATTACAGTGAGAAGTTACATCTTAATCACTTCTGGGATTAAAAGGGTTAAGAGAGAAAAGTATGGATAAATTTTGCTATTTCTCTATATGTCAAAGAAGGTCAACTGTGGAAAGTATCGTTTTGCATTCTTTGTATGCATCTGTTTCATCGTTGTCCGTCGTGGCCCTCAGATTAATTTTCAAAAATCAAATCAAGCCAAGAATAAAAATTACTATAACGTTGGGAAGCAATAATCCCCAAAAAGTGGAGTAAAGAGCAGCAACAAAATCACCAGATGCACCAACACAAACTCCTCTTTAAAATGTGCATAGGTAATAACGTTTAATGTGGTGTTAATAGGCACGAGCAAATTTTCAAAGAAAACAAAATTGCAACTTGTAGTCTTTAAAAAAAAAATTTTAATTATGTTGTTACTTGTTAATAATTAATAGGACATGAGCGTCACAGACAGTCAAGACAGACGAACTTTTGACAGCGCGCGCGTTGTTTGAAATTTGCACTCGTGTTACATGAAAATTGCACTCGTTTTCAGCCAATCCAAAGCCAGTAAAGTTGTTCTTGTATGTTATTAGAGAAGTAATATTACGATCAAAACATGAATGGCATTCTAGGACTGAAGACTGTTTTTAACGGATTAGAAGCATTGAATATATTTTTCGTAACATATAAAAGATTATTCAGTAATTCTACGGCAAAACATGCTGTTGATGGCTAAAAAATCATACAACGAAGGTTTTGGCCACATTTAACATTTCTCAAAGGACATATGTCTTTTACGTTGTTTCTTATCTTGTGTTACAATACTAGTTACTTTTTAATCCGTTAAGATCTGTGCTAAAATACGATCCTAAAAGTTTGCAGCCGATAGATAATCATTCACTGATTTACGAATGACGAGCTTGAGAAAAAAAGTGCTTCATAAGAGGCCTAAGTTATCAAACTGCTTTGAATTAACTAGGCAAGTTTTAACTTCAGATTTATATGTACCAAGTTTTACCGATGCATCGATGTTACAAATTTCCCCCTAATTAATTTTTTTTCTATAATATAACGTTACAAAAGCAACACTCAAATTCGATTTTTTTTATCATATCATCATGGTATTATTTTGCGCAAGGTGCCAACCTAAGTTTATTTATCAGGGAGATTTGGGTTTCAGTTTCATCTGGCTTCCCTTGAGGTTCCAGGTCCAATCGTAATCGTTACTTCCATAGTTACAGTTGAGACAAGAATAATAACAGCCTTCATACCACCAACCTCCCTTGTGAGACACAGCACAGTGAGACCCATCGTCAACGTCATTATCCCTGTCCTTCGTGGAAAAAGTCATACTATTATGTGGGGTGAGCTTGTCTCCTGCATCACCAGAATAGAAACCAACGAACAGTGTATAGTTAGAAGCTTCGTTTGTGACCGTAAAATCCTTATATTTAGCATATTTATTTCCATTAGAAATGGTGTTGATTTCCACTCTAAGCTGACTTGGGATCTCAGTCAGTTGATGAATGTTTTCGTTTCCAAGCCAAAACTCCCCTCTGATGTCACCAAACCCGTTCTTGTACTCGTCCCAGTCCCTGTGGAATACGACAAACCCATCAAAGCGTCTATGAAAGACGGTCCATCCACCACCATCCGTCTTCATGTCACAGTACACTTCAAAACTGGTTTTGTTTGCTGGGTTGACTGTGTACACTCCACTTTCCTTAAAGCCGGCAGAAAAGAGCTCTGTGCAATCTCGGGCTAAAGAATCAAAACAAGTGTCAGTAAGAAAGAGCTTCCCTGAGCTATTCCACACTAGAACTTGTAAAAAGTTTAAAAAGGAGGAAGTGATTGACCACCAATTTCTTGCCGTTTCAAAGGTTAAAAAAATACATTTTATTACCAGTAGCTTTAGTATTTTTACGTTATTAACAACAAATATAATTTCCTTGAATAATTTTTTTGGGAGTCAAGAGATTCTAGCCCAATTCTATTTTAACAAGCTTACTTAGCCAAAATGACAGATTTTTTCTGTTTAACTAAAAGTCTGACGAGAATTTTCCTTATTCCACCAATTTTTCCGGGAAATGGAAATTAATTTTTCGAAACTGGTCGTCTTTTCGTTCTTTCTATATTCATACTCTTGAGAAGCGATTCACAGTTTGTATATGATTATCGTACATTGGCACCTTCTTAGAATTTTTCTTATATACACGTGGAAATAAAAAACAACAACAACAACAACAACAACAAAAACGTAGGTTGAAATAATTCAACCAGGAAAGGAACAACGAGTAGGCGAGGAAAAGACCAAAAGATCTGCATGTTCATGTACCTTCTAAAACATTCCACTATTCTGCTAGATTATTACAGCAAATAATTCTCACCTGTTTTCACAATCAGTTGCACCTCAGTCTCCACGTGAACAAACTCGCTCTGTGCAGAGCAGATGTATGTCCCACTGTCCTTTGCCGTCAAACTATTTATCTTCAACTGTTCTTCTTCCATTTCAGACCGGTCTGCTGCTATGTCTCCTTTACACCGTGTCCAGGTGATGCTGGGTACTGGATGTCCCTCTGCAGAGCAGTTAAGCGTCACTGACTGTCCATGGTAAAGCTCAATCTTCTCTGGTGGCTTGACAGTAAACTGAGGCACTACATTGACTATCAAAGATGTCATGGCGTGTGATGTGCCCATGGCATTTGAAGCTGTGCAGATGTAGGTTCCTGAATCTTTCTTGTCTGTTTTTGATATGGTTAGAGTGTGGCCTTTCACAGTGGTTCTACCACCAGGGAGTTGGTCGAAAAGTTTTGACCAAGATACCACTGCAGGGGGATATCCGCTGACCTGACATAGAGGGAGCTTGACGTCCTTTCCACTCTTAACGTAGATTGGTCCGGCGGGTAGAGAGATGAGCGGCCGAGCTGCGTGGAAGAAAGTTGATCTTTAGGTTTTGGCGTTAAAATCAGCTTATGAGGGTATACGCATAAATTATGTACGATTTTGCTAACTTTTGCTTTTCCCATAGTTTCAATTTTTTTCCATATAATAATAAGATGTGCTTGACGTTTCCTACTTCCCCAATATCATTGACTAGATAAATGAATCCTGCCAGACGCTAAATTTTAACTAATGCTGCCTCTTAAACTGACGTCACGAACTTAATGCAAATAGAACTTTACCATTGACGTTGAGTGTAACAGAAGCCTGAGCGGTCCCTTGGTCAGTACGAATTGTACACACGTACATCCCATTGTCACCCACTGTAGCATTCCTGATGTAGAGCCCTCCTTTAACAATGGAATGTCTTCCAGTGGGAAGGGAGCCTTCCTCCTTGGACCATGAAATTGTTGCAACAACGTTCTTCTCTGGAAAACATTGAAATGCAGCTGTCTCGCCCAAGTCGATTGTGCTCATGGCCGGTTGCAATAGAATCCCAGGGGCAGTAACAACACCCCCTGCTTCTCCCTTAATGAGCTGAAGAGAAAAAGTTGACTTCGGATCTCCGGGTTCTCCCTTTTGGCCCTTGATACAAATCTGACTTTTGCTTGTACAGATCTTTTGCGTTGCAGCGTAAACGGATTTTGTAATTTGCCGACGGATATCGGGGGATAAAACTCCACTGTCTCCCTTGGCGGGGCTATCAGCGGCTCGCGGGATTCTCACCTGAGCTGAAGATCTAGAGCTAGGGGGCAGAACGCTGTGGATATCTGAAATGGAAGAATAAATATTGTCAATGGCAACTCCTGCACAACTTTTCTCGTTTCTAGTTCAAGATTTCAATTGCACGATGATTGATGAAGGCTAAATCCGAAAAAATGTAACGCATTTGGATAAAGAGCGAACATTCTAATTGCCTAAGTGTAAACATTCTAGTTCAAAACTTAGCAACAAGGTACGCTCATGTTTGATATTAAAATGATATAATAGGTCACACCACAACCGGATATGTATACTACTCGCTCAACTCGCTGTCTATCACGGAGAGGAGTGAGGCCAAACAGATTGAACCATTTATGAGGAAACACTGATAGATTTCGAAATCACCGAACGACCACTTGTCATTCTTCACTAATTCCCTTGACAAGCAGAGTTTAAATCTACAAGCGGAAGAATTCGAACCTTCGTAAATTGTTTAATCAATTCAGGAAAATTAAGGTTTTTCTTTCAGCTAATAAGTTTATCTAATCTCATTATAACTTGTTTGTCAGATGAAGTACTGGCATTTTGACCAGAATTTATCACCATACAAAATGGCTCGAGCCATGGAGCCATGCATTTTTGCGACTGAAGTAATTGAAATAAGACTGTGTCAAAATAATCGACTTGGATTCATTCACGAGCCACTGAGACATAATTTTTTTTTTAACTGACTAACAGAATTTTATGAAATGTTGTTGGGATTTATCTTGCCGAAAATCTTTAGAGGAGAATCTACAAATTAAGCTTTTCTCGGTGCGACAACAAGGTCATAACGTATTTCATCTTTTCATTATTTGCAAAAGCTGTGGTAACTACGGCCGATGTTTTCCTCCTATTATACTGAAATTTTAAATGCAACGTGACTTCAGTTTGGTTCATTGTTCCTGACTTTCTTGTCTATTCCAACATTGTAATGTTCTCACTTATATGAGTTTGTTGAAGCAAATTGCGAGCAAAACATGGGCAATTGGAGCCTTACTGAATCATTCTTACCAGGAGTCGAAGGCTTGGGAAGCGGGATGTCTGTTGTCATCTTCCTCTGGTTTTCCTCTAGAGCCAGAATTCTTTTGTTTTGTTCCCTCAGCTCTCCTGTCATTCTCATAAAACTAACACTATAGAATACCACGCTCAAAAGAGTTATACAAAGGCAACAAATAACGAGAAAGCGAGAAGGTCTGCTTTTATCCGAATCCGTCATTATGCATAGAAAGTATACTTTCAGTAGTTTACAACAATTGTCGATGTCTTTATATGATTCAAACGATTTATACCTTTTGCGATTAGCTCAATGGGAAGCATGACTTTCATTTCCTTGTAATCAAACTTATGATCCCAGGCTATTGTCTTAAGGCCGGATTGATGACAGTTTCACAATCCTTTCAGCTTAGGACAAAGTGAATCAAATGTTACTTCCTTCAGTATTTAGCACGTATGGGTAGAAGTGTTTCAATGACTGGATGTTTGGATGAACGTCACTTAGCTAATGTCATGAGTCTGGGACAAAGAATGTCTCAAAGAAGATTCCTATTAGATTTTAACATACATAGTCCCGATTTCGCGTTCTTTAACTCTAGATGCTGAATTAAATGGAGAACTGGCCCGGAAACCAGGCATATGCCACAGGTTATTACGTGATGGATATCACTTACTTCCTTGGCAACCATGGACACATGATCCCTTATCAGTCTTAGTAGAACCTAATATGCCGTTTAGAAGCACAGTAGGAAAGAGACACCTTCAAATCTCTCATCTTAGGATAAAGTGATTGCACTTATAAATATTCTTCTGTATATTTCGTTTGCGTCAATTCGCTGAAATGTGTTAGTTACCAAGTTGGCTGCGAATACTTTTTTTTTCAATTTATCATGTTTTAAACTGACAAACCCGCAGCTGGTGGCTTCTAACTACTAACGTATCAATCACCTTGAGTTTGAGAACTGAGTATTTAGAAAGTTTCGGATCGGAGAAGAAAGGTTAAATCACAATAAAGTGCTATGTTTTGGCTCAGCGCACATTTTTGCGAAAACGCGGTTTTTAAATTACTAGTTTAAAACGCTGATAGATCAATTTAACTGTACGTGCAAATAACAAATTGAAGAAGCTAATTTTAGATAATCAAAAATGATATCGGTGGACATGAAAATATGCACTCACATCTGCTCCAGGTCAAACAGGAAGGATATAAATAGTGGCTGAAACGTTTTTCCAAAAAATAGAGAAACGTGCGCTCGAAATTCTTCCAGATTCTAGAACTTCCGTCTTTCTTCTTCCTTCATCGTGTTCATGTTCATTTCTGCGTTGCCTCTGCTGCGTTGTTCGTGTCAGAGACCTTCCGCAGTTGGCTTTTAAATGAGCTTCTTTCCGATGTTTCTGTTGTGCCGTTTCTCCACTAGTATCTCGTCGATGTGCCGGCATATCATCATATGTAAGAAACTGTTGATGTAACTGTGACACTTTTCAAGTATCAAAGAAGTAGATGTTTATGCAAAGACAAACCTTGTTGCCATCGAGAGAGATCCAAAACAATCCAGCGACGTCAAATGTAACTTTCTGTAGCAGTACACGTAGAGTTTATGAGGTTAAAAAAATATTTCTTTATTACTTTCGCACCGAAAGTACTACTAAACGAGGAGACGTCCATCCTGTCATAAAACTGTTTGTTCATTTCAAGATAAAGACTTAACAGTATCGAGGGATACTTGCCCTGTCTTAGCGCCTTACTTCATTCTATTCGATTACAAATGTCTTCCTGAGATGCAGGTAATTGCGTATATGTTTGAGTACTGAAATTTTCCGGCTGAGGCCCGTTATGACGGTATTTAAATCGAAAAAAGGCTCAGCTCATCAAAACCTAACCTGAAAGCAATGATCTAGCATGTTTAATCTTCAAATTAACTTTGCTGAATCTTGGGACAAGTTGAAGGGCCCTTTGTCACGTACAGGTACGGTCACGTAGTATGTCAAAAGTGCTTACAGTATGTATTTCTTGGTTGAAACGTACAACTTTTAAGGGAAACTTTCACAGGTTTTTCAATTAATACAAAAAAATTTCGAAACAACATATAAAGAATATTTCGACCAGTATTTCATGTTAGTTAATCAAAATAATTCAGTTTTAGCTATAATTTCTTTTTTTCATCACTTCCTCAATTTAAGATTTCACTTTACAACCGTGTTTACAATGTTTATATATCCTAGCTTTCTGCTACGTAAAATGCACACAAATATTATTATTGTTGTTATATAAAAACCCCTCAGTTAATGAAACGCATTCGTTTAACACTCTTGCGTTTGGTTTCAGAGTCAACTATGAGGGTTTCAATGGGGTTAACCGTTAGCAGTAAAACGGCTTTAAAAATTTAGCAAAAAATTTAGCCTTAGAAAAAGTGAACTGTAAAAGTTTTTCGATTGTCCGACACAAAAAAAATGAACTATTAGCCGTAAAATTGCCAACATTTTAACCGTTAGCGGTAAGGCAGCATCCCATTGAGACCTTCAGTCACGTCCATGAAATACCAGGATTGAACGCAGACACAAAAAATCGCCAAATAGCAAATATTACCAAACTTTCAAAAATTCTTATGAACGCGCGTACGGACGCAAATTATTAAAGTAATTTGGGAGGTTTAAGGAAAGGCCCATCAAAACCGACGAAATTTAGCAAAGTTACAAGATGGGGAGATTACCAAAATTCGCGAGATTTTACATGGAAATCACGCAATTTATCCAAGAGGGAAAAAGTAAGTAACGACGAAAATGTTACAATTTTGAAACAAACAAAGCTTGCTGAATGGCGGCAACTACAAATTTCGCAAACTCTTTAGATAAGACTCAATTTAGGCTGCTACGTTGTGAATCTCATGCTTATACAGGAGTTTCCAATACCTCGCTATAATGACTCACAGGTTATTATTACTATAATCTGAAGTTTTTCTTATTATCTCTTCCATCATTCTAATCACTTCGCTTTCCAGTCCAAATGTAGATTATAAAGTCAATCAAGGAGATTTTGGTTTGAGTTTCATCTGGCTACCTATGAGTGAACCCCAGTACCAATTATAGTTGCTATCTCCGAAGTTACTGTTCAGGCTGGACTGAAAACAGGAGTTGTACCACCATGCTCCTTTGGAAGACGTAGCACAGTTCCCACCGTTCTTGTCATTGTCTCTATCCTGGGTAGAAAAAGCCATACCGTTATGATAAGAAAGTCGATCTTTAGCGTTACCAGAATAGAATCCGACAAACAAGGTATAGTTGGTTGCCTCATTTGTCACCGTAAAATTACTATATTTTGCGTATCTATTTCCAGCCGATGTGGTGTTGATTTCCACTCGCAACTGACTCGGGATCTCAGTCAGTTGATGAATCTTTTCGTTTCCAAGCCAAAACTCCCCTCTGACGTCACCAAACCCGTTCTTGTACTCGTCCCAGTCCCTGTAGAATCCAACGAACCCATCAAAGCGTTTGTGAAAGACGGTCCATCCACCACCATCGGTCGTCATGTCACAGTACACTTCAAAACTGGTTTTGTTTGCTGGGTTGACTGTGAACACTCCACTATCCTTGAAGCCGGTAGCAAGGAGTTCTGTGCAATCTCGGGCTAGAGAAAAAAACACAAGAAAGTTTCAGTAAGAAATGAATTCCCTGAACTACTCGAAATTAGAATTTGTAAAGAGTTCGAAAAAATTGATGAAGTGATTGACCACCGATTTTTTGCTATTTCAAAAGTTAAAAAAAATTTTTTATGACGGTAACTTGAGTATTTTTACCTTTTTTTTTATAACAAGTATAATTTCCTTGAATATTTTTTTTTAGGGTTAAGAGACTCTAGCCTAATTCAATTAAAACCAGCTTACTTTCCCACAATGGCAGACTTTATCTGTTCAGCTTAATCTCTGACGAGTAATTTTCTTACTCGACGTTTCGGGGTCATCGTGACTCCATTATCAAGAGACTAGTTTAAAAACATGCAAATAAGGAAAGGTACAAGAATAGCATAAATTAGAATGAACGGCTTAAACAAACACCTTGGCGCGGATGGAATCCGTTTGCACGTTCAGTGTTGGCTTACGCATGCGAATATACAACATTTCATTAACAAGGCAATCAAATTTGCCGTTACATTTCGCGATGACGTTGAATTGCTCGATCAAGCGTTCAGGCATTTCACTATTGTGCTGGAGGTGGTAGTGTTTGTAGATAGAAGATGATTTCCTTGTGTGCCCTTCTACGCGCTCGTGTAAGTGACCACGAGTATAGCCCACATACCCTGCATCACACAGGTTACATTTAAATTCATAAACGATACATTGTTGGTTAACAATAGGGGGCTTAATTTCGTGTTGCTTAAGCTGTTGATCGAGCTTAGGGCTAACGAACACTGGAATTGAAACCCCTGTCGTGCAACCAATATACATTGACAGACACATTCCGCTTTGCTGACGAAGCACGAGGCTTCGAGATCAAGAACGGCGAAATTTTAGTTTCCTATGACGTCACCTCATTGTTTACAAATGTACCATGGGAGGAAACAATACAGATCTTAGCTGAAAAAGCCTTTGCCCAGGATTGGTTCAACGAGACGCACAGCTTGAACATCTCTAAAGCGGACCTAATCGACCTCCTCCGAGCAGCTACGAAAAACCAGCTTTTCCAGTTTGACGGTGCTTTATATGAGCAGACAGATGGAGTCGCTATGGGTTCTCCCCTTGGACCGTTGCTGGCTAACGTCTTCATGTGCTCGATTGAGGAAAACCTCGAACAACACGGTCAACTTCCGCGCTATTACCGGAGGTACGTCGATGACACCCTGACCGTAATGCCTGATAGGGTGACCGCTGGCCAGTTTCTAGACACCCTTAACTCTACCCATCCCTCCCTCCAATTTACCATGGAAGTCGAACGGGAAGGATCCCTTCCCTTTCTAGGAACTGAACTGCTTAACCGTGCACCAAAGATTGAGAGCAAGGTCTACATCAAAAGAACCAACACGGGTCTCCTTCTGCATTTCCAGAGTCATGTTGATATTAAGTACAAGCGCAGCCTAGTTAACACCATGGTGGATCGCGCTTATCGATTATCTTCTAACTGGTCTTTCTTCTCCGAGGAATGTGACCGCCTTAGAGGGGTTTTTCATAACTTGAAATACCCAAAACCACTGGTTGAAACTGCAATCAAGCGGTTCGTTGAGAGAAGGATTTCATCTGCAGAGCCCTGTCCATCACCAGACGTACCATCGGAGATTGTGAGATTAGTGTTACCCTTCAAGGACCAGTCGTCAGCTAATCATGTTAAACAACAACTGAACAGTCTAAGCTCGAAGTTAAGCGTGACTGTCCAACCAGTGTTCGTTAGCCCTAAGCTCGATCAACAGCTTAAGCAACACGAAATTAAGCCCCCTATTGTTAACCAACAATGTATCGTTTATGAATTTAAATGTAACCTGTGTGATGCAGGGTATGTGGGCTATACTCGTGGTCACTTACACGAGCGCGTAGAAGGGCACACAAGGAAATCATCTTCTATCTACAAACACTACCACCTCCAGCACAATAGTGAAATGCCTGAACGCTTGATCGAGCAATTCAACGTCATCGCGAAATGTAACGGCAAATTTGATTGCCTTGTTAATGAAATGTTGTATATTCGCATGCGTAAGCCAACACTGAACGTGCAAACGGATTCCATCCGCGCCAAGGTGTTTGTTTAAGCCGTTCATTCTAATTTATGCTATTCTTGTACCTTTCCTTATTTGCATGTTTTTAAACTAGTCTCTTGATAATGGAGTCACGATGACCCCGAAACGTCGAGTAAGAAATCTTTCCTGGTTTTTTCTATGCCTTTGCTTTAGCAAATCCCTGCTGATCAAGTAATTTTCTTATTCCTTCAATTTTTTGGGGAAATGGGAATTAATTTTGCGAAACTGTTCCTCTTTTCGTTCACTCTATATTTATACTCGTAAGAAGCGATTCAAAGTTTGGATATGATTATCGTAGATTGGCATCTTCTTAGATTTGTTCTAAATATACACACGTGGAAAAAAAAACAACAAATAACAACAAATACATCAAGTAATTCAACCAAGAAAGGAACAACAAGTAGGCTAGGAAAGGAACAGAAGATCTGCATGTTCACCTACCTACTAAAGCATTCCACTATGCAAGATTATTATAGCAAACAATTCTCACCTGTTTTTACAATCAGTTGCACCTCAGTCTCCACGTGAACAAACTCGCTTTGTGCTGAGCAGATGTACGTCCCACTGTCCTTTGCCGTTAAACTGTTTATCTTCAGTTGTCCTCCTTCCATTTCAGACCGGTCTGCGGCTATGTCTCCCTTACACCGTGTCCAGGTGATGCTGGGTTCTGGATGCCCCTCTGCAGAGCAGTTGAGTGTCACTGACTGTCCATGGTAAAGCTCAATCTTCTCTGGTGGCTTGACAGTAAACTGAGGCACCACATTGACTACCAGAGATGTCATGGAATGTGTTGTACCCATGGCGTTCGAAGCTGTGCAGATGTAGGTTCCTGAATCTTTCTTGTCTGCCTTTGCGATGGTCAGGGTGTGGCCATGTACAGTGGCTCTTCCACCAGGTAGATCACCAAATAGTTTTGTCCATGAAACCACAGGAGGGGGATATCCTATGACCTGGCATAGAGGGAGTTTGACTTCCTTTCCACTCTCGCTGTAGATCGGTCCGGTAGGAAGAGAAATGAGTGGACGAGCTAAGGTGATATAGTTGGGAAAAATAATGAAGAAAATGATCTTGACCTGTGCAACTATAACTTCAAGAGAGTATGTATAATAATGTACTCCAGTCACACGGGATTCTGTTTGTCCCATAGGATTGTACGTTACTACAGATTTTCTTTAAATTGACTTTTGTCATAACATTGATATCAACGTAATAAAGGCCCCTTATTGATGAAAGTTGTTAAACATGTCATCTCCGTGTTTAACATGTGAAATCATTAATGCCAAAACCTGACAAATTTCTCTTAAAAATTGTTTCAGATGGTGATGTCTCAAAATTGACCGAGGTATTGATCAATGATGAAATTAAGAGGCTGTTTTTTTTTTCCTTAAGTAAAGAAAGCATTTGCCAAAAGCAGGACTAGTTATGGTAATTATTAAACCATTGAGATTGCTACTTGCCATTATCGGCTAAATAAAAGCAAACATATATATGTAACTGGCCTAGTAACAGCAACGTTTATCGGTTACCTTTCACGTTGAGTGTAATAGAAGCCTGAGCGGTCCCCCGGTCAGTACGAATTGTGCAAACATACATCCCATTGTCACCCACTGTAGCATTCTTGATGTGAAGAGATCCTTTGATGATGGAGTATCTTCCGCTTGGAAGGGAGCCAACTTCCTTGAACCAGGAAACTGTCACATCCAT